GCCGCCCGGCCCCCGCCGCCCCGCGGGGAGCGCCGGGCGGCGGCGGGCGCGGAGCAGCGATCCCGGAGCCGGCGCGGCGGCGGGGAGGGGCGGGGCGGGCGGGCCCCGCTGGCTGCCCCTGAACGGTTCGGCAGGAGGCGAGGGCAGCGCCGGGGGCCGCGGGAACGCCACGGGGCGCCGCGCCCGCCTCCGCAACCCCTTCTACCCGCTGACCGAGGAGTCCTACGGCGCCTACGCCGTCATGTGCCTCTCCATAGTGATCTTCGGCATCGGCATCATGGGCAACATGGCAGTGATGTGCATCGTCTGCCACAACTACTACATGCGGAGCATCTCCAACTCTCTGCTGGCCAACCTGGCCTTCTGGGACTTCCTCATCGTCTTCTTCTGCCTGCCGCTGGTCATCTTCCAGGAGCTCACCAAGAAGTGGCTCCTAGAAGACTTCTCCTGCAAAATCGTCCCATACATCGAGGTAATGGCTGTGGGTGGGGATGCGCGGCCCCGGGCGTTTTCGCGCAGTCCCCGGGCGGACTGGCCGCGCTCGCCCGCACAAGGGAACGCGAGTCCCGAGCTCCTCTCTCCGCTGCTCCCTCGCCGCAAGCCTGACCTGTCGGTCATTGCTGTCGGCCCGGGGATGTCTCAGTGCGGCGTGGTCTGGGTTTCACGGGCGCTCCTGCGGCACAGCGGGGCCCCGGCACGGCCCCGCACTCATCGGAGGCGGCAGTGGCCGCCGCCGTCCAGCGGCACCGGGATTTCTGTGGCTCAAGCTGAGCGCGTCCAGCGCTTCCTGACACTCGCCGAGAGTTCTGCCAAACTTTCCTTGCTCTCAGTAATCCTGTAAGGCATCCTCTCAGAATTAGGAGGAATTTCAACTTTTTTGCTTTGCTGTTTTCCTAAAGTCGAGTGAATCAGGAAAGCGGATGGAGGGAATGAGTGGAGTAGCTTGTAAGAAAGTGATTGTAAAAAGCACCATGAGCAGGATGTATGGGCTCTTAATTTGTATTTCAGCGTTCAAATCGCACATTTATTTAGCTTTTTCTTTTTCTTTTTCTTTTTTTTTCTCCTCCCTTTAAAAAAAATACCTCAGCTCCATTTAAACTGCAGCTTCTTGGCAGTTGTTCAAAGGCTCTGTCAGAGAAGCTCCCAGACAGCTGGCCGGAGTCCTGCCGGCAGCGCTCAGGTTGTCTGCTTTATTTACTGGAACTGAACGCTAAGGCTTATTGGTAGGATGGTAGCCTGTAGTTCTGGCTGACTCTGCTGTATTCCCAAAACCTTATGTTCAACATTATTCTGTAACTGAAAGCTGATGAAATAACTGTTGATCCTCTTGTCCTAAAAATGAGATATTAGAGAAAAAACAAACAAACAAAAACCTAGACAAAAAGTCAACACCTCATCCCCCAAAAAATGAATAACGCAACCTAGTATTAATACAGAGTATCAGTTTCAGCAGAACATTGTTACAAAGTAACACACAGTTAACTTTCAAGTGGTATTTTTAAGAAAGTGTTGAGAAAGATGAGCTTTGTAGCCACTAAATTGTCATTGCTTCTTTCGTATGTGATACAGTTTATTACTGGTGATATTGAACAAAGGGTGGAGCTGTGCTACGCTTAGATGAATTCTAGGCTGGTAGTATACCACTGAGTTTGAAAAACTCAGAGTATACTTAATTGATTTGCATTTAAGAAGACATGATGCAGTAAATATGTGTTTATTGAGAAACTGAAAGGAGCTTCTAAAATTTCTGAATTGGATTAGTGGTGTTTCAAGAGTAATCATTTCAATTACAGTAGATACAGTAGTTTGCGTTTCAAGGACTTTCCTACAGCCACATTTCACGCTTCCTAACATTTTTTGGTGCATCCACATGCAAAATAGAAGTAATTCTTTGTAATACCCATTCTAATTAAAGATCAGTAATTTAAATGATTTGCATGACCACATTATTCTTCAAACTTAGTTGCTTATGCTGTGCCTGGCTTTGGGCAGTAGAGGGTTTGTCAAACTGAAAGCAGTTTAGCTGAAATGTAGTTGCTGAAATTCAAAACTGTAATCCTGAAAAATGTTCATCTGCTACTGTACCCCTTTATACTTCAATATAACCTTATTTTTTCACTTAAAAGTTCTGTAGATGTCTAGAGTTAAAGTCTTATTCATGAACTGGCACCAGTCCAGTTGAGATGGACCAGTAGCTTGGTCTCTGTCTTAGGCTTAATTATTACTGGTGTCTATAAGTGAAGCATTTTCCTTGTCCCTAAGGAAGTATAATTAACGTAGATCTAAGGTGCAGATATAAAAAGATACAGCCTTGGGGTTCTGCATTGCTCCCAGAATTGTATATTTTTCATTCAGTGGTCATTAAATATTATATGTATGTAAAGTATATTCATCACTTGAGAAAGTGTACGTAAAAGGCTGGATTTCCCCCTCTATAAATTGTAAGAATGAGTGGCAGATACTAAACGCTACTAGTGGATCATGACTCTTCATGGTTTGCCTTGAGCTTGGCAAGAAGGACACTATCCTGTAAATCAGAATTTGACCCTGCTGAGGCAGAGAAGGCAGTTAGAGCAAAGGTTCACCACTTTCCAAGTGTTTTCTAACCTCACAGGCATTACACAGTGACACTGACACCACCAGGAGCAATGCAGATAGGGAGCATGTCATGAAATCCACCCATATACGTGAGCAGCTGCTGTTCCTTGCTCTGGGTTGTTCACAGGAGTACACTCATCTGGCAACTAAACAACACTGTCTTTTCCCTTGTAACTCACCTGGGCAGGCTCATCCCCTTCTCACACAATGAGAGAAGGATGAAAGGAAAGCTGTAGACAACTATCTTCAGGAGAGGTTTCCAGACCTTTGTGAAATACAAATAGAAGCATATTCCTGAAGATGGACGAATTTTAAGCTGTCTGTGTTTTCTCTAAGTTTGCCTAGTGTTTGGTTCTTTTAAGTGTCTCTTAGTTCCATGATTTGCATCTCTTTTTGTTACACATCAGTTCGCCTCGTCCACTGTTTAGTGAGCTGTATGTCTCACCCAGATTTGTATATCCAGAAATATCTTACTTTCAAGCATCAAAGACCCTTATTGGCTTGAGACCTCTGTCATACCAGCTTGTACTTTCAGAACTAGGGGACAGGGGATGTCTGATTATCCAGATCAAGTGATGCAGTGATCACAGCATTTTAACGTAATTCAGGCATGCTTTGTTTTATGTCAAAGGTTTCAAGTGATTCCGGTGAGATACCTTGAGTTTTCTTTGTTTAAACCTCTTGAGGCCAATTGGTTTTTATTTGTGCTGTTTAATGGCTACTGTGCAGAATTTCAGCAAAGCATCTGTTACCAGTGATAACACATATGCACACACAGTCTGGGAAAAATGTTTTATGGTATCTTCATGTACATTTGTATAGGTAAAAGTTGAGCTTCCAGCAGTGGAAGGTCTCCACGATATTTGATTTAAAGCACTGTTTTCCTATACCTAATAAACATCTGTGACAAGTGCATTAAGTAGTCATTTCAACCATATATTGTATCACAGTTTGTTCATTCTAACCCGCAGGTTTGAGTGTACTCAGAGGGAACTGAAAAGAGTATTAGAACAACTAATGCAGCTACTCTGCCCATAAGGATGTGTGGAGATGTGCTTTTCCTCTACAGTTTTAATCCTCTGCTTAACTGTTCTTAAAATTTTGCCACTTTTTCTGCAGATGGTTCAGAAGTTTAGTTTTTGTGCATGTCTGAAGTGTTTACCTGCACACTGTGCTTATTTTGTCTTCATATCATTTTCTCAGCATCACTTAGAATCAGGAGATATGGGGTAAATCACAATACAAAGACAATGACTTTGGCTGATACCTGCTGATGTGGGACCCTTTTCATTTTGTTTAAGCACACACAGTCTTTTGAGCAATGTAGTTCCCTACTTACAGATTTATTCTAGGCCTTAATAGAAAGAAGTGTATGTAGTGGATGTAGACAAAATCTGTACTGGTACTGTGCTTCTGAATATTTTACAGCTGTTAGTACTGTGAAGTAGAGTTGCTATTTTTTTATTTTAATTCTGGAAGGTGGTAATGAAGAGATTAAATAAGTTGTTTAAGGCCCAGAACAGCTTGCTCAATATGACAAATGTCGGCTAGGACTAGAAAGTATCTTTTGGAAGCTTGCTTAATTTGTGTGCATTCTGCTCTTGGAGATTACACTGGAAGCTCGATGAGTTTGGGGGGGGTCATTAGAAGTAGGCATCCCATTCTATACCAGCAAATTGCATCCAACTACTTATAGTGGAGTAAAGATTTAGAACTGGGGAATAGTCTAGAGTGAGGACGTGGAGAGGCTGATTTACTGCCCTGTGCAGTCCAGCACAGACCAAGAAGTTGCTGAGGCCAGTAATGGTACACAGCTCTCTGCTCAGTTCTGGTAAACATGACCCCCTCTACCTTTCTCATACACCTCACAAAGACAAGAAAGACAAAGTTTGTGGTGTCCTCATATGGACCATATCATGCATATGAGATGGGCATGGCTCTGGAGCAGGCTGACAGGGAAAGCCTCTGAAAAAGGATGCTCAGTCTCTGCATGTACTTTTGGCAATCAATTTGTGGCATCACTCCTGTTTCTGATGGGTAACTTCCAGCTCAGGAAAGCTATCACAATTAGTATTCTTAGTGGAAAGCATAGGGATTGATTTGGCCTGGAATATGAATTACTCTCTTTCCCTAGAGCTGACCCTCCAAGGCAATTTGAGGTGAGGCTTTTTCCTCTTTCTCTGTTTTACTTGACAGAGGTAAGTTAGAAGCACAGAAAAAGTGACCATTCTCTGCCTGTTCCAAAGCTGTCAGAAGAGATCCCTATTTTAAGTTTCACTTTGGGGAAGCAAATATGTTTTTTATGGGAGTATATAAAAGCTGTGTATTTTCTGTCTTTTCTGTGTCTTTTGATGTGCGGCATCTTCTTTGTGTCTCTGCTTTGACTCTAGTCAGAGCTATGCTCCTGAACCTCCAGTGAGTCCTCTGGGTCGTAGGCAAAGATACTCAGAGATGTTTGCAGTTTCAAAGCTTCTTCATGAGAGTTTTCTAGGGCAATGGCTACATGTGTCTTTTACTGAGCGGAATAACTTCAGCACTTATCACACAATAAATAATTATTTAAAGCAGAAGTGTTAATATATCTCTGCCCTTTAGGTATTAATGGCATAATTATAGTGTCTGCCATGTTGGTTGTTCTGTTAGTCTTTCTTTCCTCTGCAAACCCTGTCTACAGGGTCTTCTGAGTTGTCCATGAAAATTTGCCTTTGGCTAAACTTTGCATATGGCATTTCAGCATGGAAATGAATTTGTGTCAGAGTAGGTCTAAAATTGGGTCAGTAATATTTAAGTTACATATGTGTGGAGAGGAAAAGGCAGCATCTGCTATCCCAGCACCAATGACTGCTCTGAGCATTGGGATATCATTTCTCCATA